AAATGCTGCTTCCTCACTGGGATGCTTTTCCAAGAAATGGGCCAAATCACTCCCTTTGTGGTGCGGGATAATCCGGGTCTGTGTGCCCTCGTATGCATGGGACTCTCCTCTGGAAGCACACTGTTGGCCAGCTGATGCCGGCAAAACAGAAACACCAAACAATTAATTAATTTGCAATCTGAAAATCCAGAAAAAAGTTATTTGCATTTTGGGATGCATATAAATACATCTGTTTTCTCAACTTTTCCCACCTATTTTTCATTTTAAAAATTCTCAGATATACCAAAATGTTGAAAGAATAATGTAACAGTATAGTGAACCCTACCCCTAGATTCCATAATTAACATTTTGCCGTATTTGCTTCATCTGTCTGCCTAGCTGAATCATTTGAAAGTAAATTGAAAACATCATATTTTTTTTAATTGAGTTAATGATAGGTTACAATCTTGTGAAATTTCAGTTGTACATTAATGTTTGTCATTCGTGTTGTAGGTGCACCACTTCACCCTGTGTGCCCACCCCCCACCCCACCTTTCCCCTGGTATCCACGAAACTGTTCTTAGTCCATAATTTTAAATTCCTCATATGAGTGGAGTCATACACAGATTATCCTTCTCTAGCTGGCTTATTTCACTTAACATAATTCCCTCAAGGTCCATCCATGTTATTGCAAATGGAATGATTTTGTTCTGTTTTGCAGCTGAGTAGTATTCCATTGTATATATGTACCACATCTTCTTTATCCATTCGTCTGTTGATGGGCACTTAGGTTGCTTCCACGTCTTGGCTATTGTAAACAGTGCTGCAATAAACATTGGGGTGCACAGGACTTTTGGGATTGCTGACTTCAGGCTCTTTGGATAAATACCCAGTAGTGGGATGGCTGGATCGTTTGGTAGTTCTATTTTTAATTTTTTGAGGAACCTCCATACTGTTTTCCATAGTGGCTGCACCAGTTTGCATTCCCACCAGCAGTGTATGAGGGTTCCTTTTTCTCCACAACCTCTCCAACATTTGTTACTATTAGTTTTAGATATTTTTGTCATTCTAATGGGTGTAAGGTGATATCTTAGTGTAGTTTTGATTTGCATTTCCATGATGATCAGCGATGAGGAGCATCTTTTCATGTGCCTATTGGCCATCAGTATATCTTCTTTGGAGAAATGTCTGTTCATGTCTCCAGGCCATTTTTTGATTGGGTTGTTTGATGTTTTGTGGTTGAGTTGCGAGAGTTCTTTATATATTATGTATATTAAGCCTTTGTCAGATATATGACTTGCAAATATTTTTTCCCAGTTAGTGGGTTGTTTTTTTGTTTCAATCCTGTTTTCATTTGCCTTGAAGAAGCTCTTTAATCTGATGAAGTCCCATTTGTTTATTCTTTCTATTGTTTCCCTTCTCTGAGAAGGCATGGTGTCTGAAAAGATCCTTTTAATACTGATGTCAAAGAGTGTACTGCCTACATTTTCTTCCAGAAACCTTATGGTTTCAGGTCTCACCTTTAGGTCTTTGATCCATTTTGAGTTTATTTTGGTGAATGGTGAAAAAGAATGGTCAATTTTCATTCTTTTACATGTGGCTTTCCAGTTTTCCCAGCACCATTTGTTGAAAAGACTTTCTTTTCTCCATTGTATGCCCTCAGCTCCTTTGTCGAAGATAAGCTGTCCATAGATGTGTGGTTTTATTTCTATGCTTTCGATTCTGTTCCATTGATCTGTGCACCTGTTTTTGTACCAGTACCATGCTGTTTTGATTACTGTAGCTTTGTAGTATGTTTTGAAGTCAGGGATTGTGATGCCTCCCGTTTTGTTCTTTTTTCTCAGGATTGCTTTAGAAATTCGGGGTCTTTTGTTGCCTCATATGAATTTTCGGATTCTTTGTTCTAATTCTGTAAAGAATGTCATTGGGATTCTGATTGGGATGGCGTTGAATCTGTAGATTGCTTCAGGTAGAACGGACATTTTAACTATGTTTATTCTTCCATTCCATGTACATGGAATGTCTTTCCATCTCCTTATGTCGTCATCCAATTCTCTCAGAAAGGCCTTGTAATTTTCATTATATAGGTCCTTCACTTCCTTAGTTAAATTTACCCCAAGGTATTTTATTCTTTTTGTTGTGATTGTGAATGGTGTTGTGTTCTTGAGTTCTTTTTCTGTTAGTTCGTTATTGGAGTATAGAAATGCTACTGATTTATGCAAATTGATTTTGTACCCTGCAACTTTGCTGTAGTTGTTGATTACTTCTAAGAGTTTTCCAATGGATTCTTTGGGGTTTTCTATATATAAGATCATGTCGTCTGCAAACAGCGAGAGTTTCACTTCTTCCCTCCCTATTTGGATTCCTTTTATTCCTTTTTCTTGCCTGATTGCTCTGGCCAGGACCTCCAGTACTGTGTTAAATAAGAGTGGTGATAGAGGGCATCCTCGTCTCGTTCCCGTTTTCAGGGGGATGGGGTTCAGTTTTTGCCCATGGAGTATGATGTTGGCTATGGGTTTGTCATATGTGGCCTTTATTATGTTGAGGTAGTTTCCTTCTATGCCCATTTTGTTCAGAGTTTTTATCATAAATGGCTGTTGGATCTTGTCAAATGCCTTCTCTGCATCTATTGAGATGATCATGTGGTGTTTATTCCTCAGTTTGTTGATGTGGTGTATCACGTTGATTGATTTGCGGATGTTGAACCATCCCTGTGTCCCTGGTATGAATCCCACCTGATCATGATGTACGATCCTTTTGATGAATTGCTGAATTCTGGTTGCCAAAATTTTGTTTAGAATTTTTGCATCTATGTTCATCAGTGATATTGGCCTGTAGTTCTCTTTTTTCATGGTGTCCTTGTCAGGTTTTGGTATCAGTGTGATGTTGGCCTCATAGAATGTGTTAGGAAGTGTTCCATCTTCCCTAATTTTTTGGAATAGCTTGAAAAGGATAGGTATTAAATCCTCTCTGAAAGTTTGGTAGAATTCCCCAGGAAAGCCATCTGGTCCTGGGGTTTTATTCTTTGGGATGTTTTTGATTGCTGTTTCAATCTCTTTCCTTGTGATTGGTCTGTTCAAATTGTCTGCCTCTTCTTGAGTGAGCTTTGGGAGATTGTAGGAGTCCAGGAATTTATCCGTTTCCTCTAGGTTATCCATTCTGTTGGCATATAGTTTTTCGTAGTATTCTCTTATAATCCGTTGTATTTCTGCAGAGTCTGTTGTTATTTCTCCTCTTTTATTTCTGATTTTGTTCATTTGAGCTTTCTCCCTTTTTTTCTTTGTAAGTCTGGCTAGGGGTTTGTCAATTTTATTTATCTTCTCAAAAAACCAGCTCTTTGTTTCATTGATCCTTTCTACTGCCTTTTTCATTTCAATAGTATTTATTTCTGCTCTGATTTTTATTATTTCTCTCCTTCTGCTGACTTTGGGCTTTATTTGTTCTTTTTTCTCTAGTTCAGTTAGGTGTAGTTTAAGATTGCTTATTTGGGATTTTTCTTGTTTGTTAAGATGTGCCTGTATTGCGATGAATTTTCCTCTTAATACAGCTTTTGCTGTATCCCATATGAGTTGGTATGTCATGCTATCATTTTCATTTGTTTCCAGGTATTTTTTGATTTCTTCTTTAATTTCTTCAAAGATCCATTGCTTGTTCAGTAGTGTGTTGTTTAGTCTCCACATCTTTGTGCCTTTCTCAGCTTTTTTTCTTGTAATTAATTTCTAGCCTTATAGCACTATGATCGGAGAAGATGCTTGTAAAAAACATCAAATATACTTTTTAAATATCTAGTTTCTTTTCTTTTTCAAACATTTTATTTTTCCTTTTTCTCCCCAAAGCCCCCCCGGTACATAGTTGTGTATTTAGTTGTGGGTCTTTCTAGTTGTGGCATTTGGGACGCTGCCTCAGCATGGCTTGATGAGCGGTGCCATGTCCGTGCCCAGGATCCAAACCGGCGAAACCCTGGGCCGCCACAGCGGAATGCACGAACGTAACCACTCGGCCACAGGGCTGGCCCTGAAAACATCATATTTTTATCCCTAAATCCTGATTCTTCAGCTTGTCTCTCCTAAGAAGGGCATTCCCTTACATAACCATGATACTATTATCATCTAATAAAATGAATACTATAAATTTTATCTGTGATCCAATCTACATTCACATTTTCTTGATCATCCCAGAATGTCTGTATAGCTGATTTATTTTTTGAACCAGGAGCCAATAAAAATCCGTGCTTTGCATTGGTTATCGTACCTCCTTCATCTCTCTCTCTCTCTTTTTTGGTTGTCGAATGATCCTTTATTGAAACGTTTTCCTTTCTAGTTTTTAGGTGGCTGTGCATTCCACTGCACCAGGGTTGATGTCGTCTAAGATGTCGTGATGGTGGCAGCATCAACATTACAGTCCACAGACTGGGCAGTCCCCAGACCTCTTAACGGTTCCAGAGAGTTCTCTGGCCAAAGACTGGTGCTGCATCTGTTGGCCAATGTTGACAATCTCATCAAAGGTGACACTTGCCCTGTGCTTGATGCTTTTCTACTTCTTTCTGTCTCCTGGCATTCCTCGAGGACTTCGATGATCAGGGCAGAGGCGGAAGCTACCCCCTCAGTCTGGGCCTGTCTGTTCTGAATGGTCAGTTTCGCTGCTGTCCTCAGACCCAGGCACCAGTTGCTTTGGCGATGTCATCACCAAACTTTTTGGGAGACAGACGCAGAGGGCTGATCTTGGGGGATGTGGCAGCAGCTTTCCCACCAGTGCACCTCAAGTACACAACTTTGAAAAACCATGGCGAGGGGCTGGCCCTGTGGCCGAGTGGTTAAGTTCACGCGCTCCGCTGCAGGCGGCCGAGTGTGTCATTGGTTTGAATCCTGGGCGCGGACATGGCACTGCTCATCAAACCACGCTGAGGCGGCATCCCACATGCCACAACTAGAAGGACCCACAACGAAGAATATACAACTATGTACCGGGGGGCTTTGGGGAGAAAAAGGAAAAAAAAAAATCTTAAAAAAAAACAAAAAAGAAAAAAAAAATGAAAAACCATGGCGAGGTGGCCATGCCAGAAGCCTTGACGGTGCGTGTGTTGTCAGGCCTGAGGGCCTCGAACACCCTTGTCCGGGGCAGTGCTAACCTCTCTCCTTTTACACAACTCTCCTCGGTCTCCTAATCTGGAACAATCTCCTGCCTTTTTTATCTCCTAAGGCATTGACTTTGAAGAATCAAGCTAGCTGACTTAAGAAATGTCCCCTATTCTGGATTCATCGGATTGTTTCCTTATGAAAGTGTGCCATTTTGAAAAATATATAGTAGAACGCATTTATCTGCCAATTTGCGCTGCCGTCTCCACCCGTCCCTCCGTCGTCTTTCCAGCTCAGCTGATGGCTCCAGCATGTCTTCGTGTCCAGCTGGGCCTTCACCTCTCTCTTCTCCTCCCTCCTGCGCAGCCCGTCCACTCAGCCTCGAAAACATAGCCAGACTCTGGCAGCCCTGCCTCCCTGCCGATGCCCTGGTCCAAGCCACCGATTTCTCTATCGGAACCCCCAAGCTGGGCTCTCTGCTCTCACGTGGGCCTGGACACTCCACTCCTCTCAGTCTGGGTGCAGATTTCTAGAGAGATGATGACTTGAGCCCGTGTCCCTCGTTCCTCACTTCCGACTCTCTCTTTGGGCAAAAACAACAACCAGGAAAGGAAGACACATGGGGTTGAACGACAGGAGGAAGGGGATGAGCCTTGGGACCCCCAGAAGGTGACAGTGTGCCTCACCGGCCGTCGTGTCTGAGTCTTCCTGCTTGCTGGGTTGCCAGTCCCAGTCAGCTGTTGAAAATGAGAAGGGTTCTCCTCCCCCAGCTTAACATTCCGCCAAGACCACCCGCCACGCTGCTTAGAGCACGCTCCCAGCTCCTGGCCCTGGGCAGCCAGCTCGGCACGGCCCTTCTGCCCACCGCTCGCTCGCCCTCAATCACTCGGTTTTCTTTCTGGCTCCTGAGCAGGCTGAGCCTTTTTCTGCCTCAGGGCCTTTGCAGTCTCCTCTGCCTGGAATGTTCCCCCCCCGCCCTCCCATCCCCGATCTTCTCACCAGAGGCCCCTTCTCCTCCTGCAGGTCTCAACTGGAACCTCCCTTCCCTGACCACCATTTTAAACTAGTCCACTTGCCCCCAACTACTCGCTCTCTCATTCCGTGATCCACGTCTATATCCTTCGCAGCACTCCCTTATCTGGCGCTCCAGTATCTGGAACTCTCTGACTGGTTGTGTGTGCGCACCCCACGAGAATACTGATACCCACCCAGGCTGAGCACTCACACTGCACCCCGCGCGGTTCTGAGCATGCGCTTTAGCTTCTAGCTTCACAACAGCCCTGGGAGGAAGGCACGATGCTCTCTCAGATTTCACTGGTGTGGAAACTGAGGCACAGAGAGGTAATGTGGGGTCACCAGGGAGTCTGGCTCCAGCTCCGAGTTCTTGACCGTGACACTCTCAGAACCTGCATTTAAGCACCGCAAAGATTAGGGCTTTTTCTGTTACTTTCTCTGCTCCGATGGCAGCTTTCGGCACTGAGGACCCAAACGGCCTGAATCGGGCTCCAATCCCAAGAAACAGCATTTCATCTTCTTGCTGGGACGGGCGGCGGAGCCATTTCAGCAAGCCAAGGGCCTCAGGAACAGTTCACCAGGTCGCACGTTTGGGAGTGGCAGAGTCAACGGCTTCAGGGAGCTCTCGGGAATAGGTTGCTGGTGTGGAAAAACCAAAGCCGAGGCCAGGCTGCTGCAGGTTCGTGGCTGACTCTAAGAAGCTAACCATGTGTGGCTATTTAAACATAGATTAGGGGCGGGCCTGGTGGCGCAGGGGTTAAGTGCGCACATTCTGCTACTTTGTGGCCCGGGGTTTGCGGGTTCGGATCCCAGGTGCGGACATAGCACCGCTTGTCAAGCCATGCTGTGGTAGGCATCCCACATAGAAAGTGGAGGAAGATGGGCACAGATGTTAGCTCTGGGCCAGTCTTCCTCAGCAAAAAGAAAAAGGAGGATTGGCAGCAGATGTTGGCTCAGGGCTAATCTTCCTCAAAAAAATAAATAAAAATAAAAAATAAATGTAAATTAATTAAAATGAAATAGAATGTGTTCCTCAATTGCACTAGCTACCTTTCCACTCTCAGTAGAAGCATAAGGCTAGGGGCTGCCCTACTTGACAGCACAGATCTAGAACATTCTCAGATCTAGAACATTCTCATCATGCCGGAAAGTTCTGTTGGACAGTGCCAGTGTAGATGGACCGTGATTTCGCTTTCCTGGAGGTGAATCACAAAGGTCACGGCGGGGTATTTATCCAAATTATTCATAGGACATTGCCCGGCAGTGGGCTTCTTCCAGCCATGGACAAGGATCTTCTTCTGGAGAACTGTGTCCCCACTGACCTGGCATTTGTCTGAAATTCCGTATTTCCAAGAACTCCCTTGCAATGGGGTACCTGAGTTAATGTTTACACCAAAAATGTTAGGGGCCTTCCAGAACCTTGACAGGACTGTTGAATTCGAGAAAACACTCTGCAGACCTCTGCTGGGACACATTGCTGCAGCCCGAGGAGGCGGGGAGGAAGCAGAGACGGGAAGGAGCTGGCCAGCTTCCTGCCTGGCTTTCAGATGGGCTGGGGTGCTCACACACTGCCTTTGGGGCTACGAGCTGCCCCGCCGGCCGCCACCTGATCTCTGTAACACACTGTCTAAATTGCCTCCTGATGGCGGGTCGTGATCGCGAGTGGCGAAGGCCTCCGTCCAGCACGGCATGTTGTCCTTCACTGCTTGTTCATTGTCAAGCTGTGTAGATGAGGTCCGGGGGCAGATCTGTGAGTTTAGGGACAAAGAAGAACAAATCCTTTTGGCCAGGGGGTGAGGGTGGGAAGCAAGTCCCGAATGCTTATTTATGAAGCACGGGTTGTTTCCTTGTTTCCAAGGCAGCCACGGCTTCGCGGAGCTGATGGAGCGCATCCTTCTTGTCAGAACTGAAACAACTACTTTTAGAAAGGCATGCGTGTGCGTGTGAAAAATTAAAAATGGAAGACAGTAAACAGGGCGTTTTTCTCTTGCGTCCCTGTCTGTGGCCCTCTGTTCCCTCTGACTTAGTCTGTTCGGGCAGCTGGAGCAAAGCACCACCCACTGGGGGCTTCCACAGCAGACATTTGCTCCTCACAATTCTGGAGGCTGAAGTCCCACGTCAAGATGTCAGCAGACCTGGGCGCTGGTGCGAGCCGCCTTCCTGGTCCCTGGACGGCTGTGTGCTCTGTGTCCTCGTGGTGGAAGCAGCCAAGCTGCTCTCTGGGGTCTTTCTCATCAGCTCACTAATCCCAGGGTGAGGGCTCCACCCTTACGGCCTAATCTCCTCCTGGAGGCCCTCCTCCCGTTCCATCACATCGAGGGGAGGTTTCAGCACAGGAATTGCGGGTGGAAAAGGAGTTCAGACCGTATCAGTTCCCCTCCCACATGGGTACCAGTTTCTTGTGTGCCCTGGAAATTCCATGTATTTGCAAGGCTGTTTACATTCCCTTTTCCCTACGTAAATGAAAGCATATCATGTACACTCTTTATAACTTGCTTTTTTTGCTTAGGAATATAGTTTGAGAAGAACTTTTTTATTAGTATATGTAGATCTGTCCCATTCTTGTTCCCAGGTACAAAATATTGTGTTGTGTCAGACCAGCGCCCTGTGCAGCGGTTAAATTCACATGTTTCGCTATGGCGGCCTGGGGTTCTCTGGTTCGGATCCCGGGTGCGGACATGGCATCACTTGTCAAGCCATGCTGTGGCAGGCACCCCATGTATAAAGTAGAGGAAGATGGGCATGGATGTTAGCTCAGGGTCAGTCTTCCTCAGCAAAAAGAGGAGGATTGGCATTAGTTAGCTCAAGGCTAATCTTCCTCAAAAAAAAAAAAATTCTATTGTGTAGATTTGTACTAACAGTGCAGCCACTAATCACATGTGGCTGTTTAAATTTAAATTAAGTAAAATTTAATAAAATTCGTTTCTCAATTGCTAGCCATATTTCAAGTGCTCAGTAGAAGGGTTTGACTGAAGCTAACACACAGAACAGATGGTGCTGGTGCGGATGGGCCGTAACTTAGTAAGGCAATCCCCTACTGCTGGATATTCACCTTGCTTCCAATATTTTGCTACTATAATCAGTGCAACAAAGGCTACTGTTGCACCTAGATCTTTGCCCGTGTGCGTGTGTGTCTGAAAGATAAACTTCTCAGGGGAACTCGCTGGGTCAAAGGGCATATGCATTTTCAATGTACACACCCTTTGCCAAATCCCCCTCCACAGAGGTTATACAAATTTACCCTGCTGCCAGCCGGAGTCCACACCGCCGGCCTCCCGCCCCTGGGCCGGCACAGGGGGCTTCTCAGACTTTGATCTCTGCCCGTCCCCTAGGTGAACAACGGTATCTCATATAGTTTTAGCCTAAAAGTTATTTTACGTTTCCCCCTAACACGATAAGGACCTCATTCATTATTCCCCTTGACAAAGTCACTTTCAACGTGAAAAACATTTCTCGGAGCTTTTTTGTGTCTCACTTGGAGACTTTGTCCTCCGGGAGGGCGTCTCATGTTTGTATTGATTGCCTCATCCATCACGGCTGTTGAACTGTGCGCTGCTAATGATTAGCTATGGTGGGTGCAGAGGAACAGGTGAAACTGGACGTGGAGGGCTCAGCGCGGTGCCCGGCAGTGAGGGTGCCCGGCTGTCACTTCTGAAAGAACGTGTGATGTTTTCCACGGGAGGCTTAGCTACCAGGTGCGGCTTGTTCGCTGGCCTGAACAAGCAAGGGCTGTTCCCTGGCCTCAGCCTCAGTGACTGGGTCACTGATTTGCTCTTGGAATCCAAAATTCATGCAGCCGCAGGCACACTGGACTGTTGACGTAGGTCCGCAGCGGCGCTATCCCAACAGCCGAAAGGTGGGAACACCCCAAACGTCCACCGATGGCCGAATGGATAAATAAAATGTGGTCCATCCATACAAAGGAGGAGTATTCAGCCATGAAAAGGAAGGGAATTCTGACACACGCTGCAACATGGACGAATCTTGAGGCCATTACGCTGAGTGAAATAAGCCAGTCACAGAAGGACAAATGCTGTGTGATTCCAGTCATGTGAGGGAC